ATTTGATTAATGGACGTTAGGTACATCATCGGTGACATCACCAAAGCTTAAGGGTGTTCAGTACCTGTCACAACACAATATACGGTTGAATAGTGTAGTTGGTTATCACACGGGATTCTGATTCCCGTGACCCGAGTTCGAATCTCGGTTCGACCTTATTTTTTCAATTTTTATTTTATTATATCCCCACAACAGAACTCTCTTTGTTCAATTTTATATCATGACATTGCCCTGTTCGTCTACATCATAAATATCCTCATTAATGAGTATTACAACTATATCAAAAGCTTTTCCGGAAAATGGCTCAGTTGGCCATCTCTTTCTCTTTACAAGCCAGGTAGAGTGCATTGGGGAATAGCTGGCTACTTGAAGATGAAGAGTTTTGGGGTTTAGTCTATAACTGTATATAGGTGAAATTTGGTCCAGCTGTATAGGGTTTTGACTGATATGTGCACGCGGAGATGGGTGGGATATTCATGTTCAACCAGTAGTATTCGCCTCATCTAACAGATTTTTCGTTTTACAGCCTGGTTGAATTTCGCCTTAAACCCCATGATGCCCAAACAGATCTAATCACCCTCTCCCTTAATAGTTACACTGTAGCGGGCCTACAGCGGGGGGGGGGCACTTAGGCACCCTGCCGGTCACCGTTGACTTCTCGAGTATTTAAACATAAATAATATTGGAGAACTACGGGGAAAGCTAGTGAGAAGAATGGTAGAATGATTGACGACTCCAGCACAGATGACGCGCGTGAGAGGTCAATTAATAGAATAAGACCGATTTGGCCACTAAAAAAAAAAGTATGTCTGGGGAAGCTTTTCATTTTTAAATATAGTAAGTATAATAAAGAAACTATTTTACGAAACAAACGTTACATAATAACGCAGGTAGGTGTTAATCTGGAAAAAGAGGGCCGGGCCAAAAGATAAATAAAAATAGAAAAATTGAAGTGAATGGAATTTAGGCCCTGGTTTGACGACGTTGGCGCACGGCGGCGGCCAGTTCGTCCAACATGGGCAGCGTCTGGGTCCAAGAGACACAGGCGTCGGTGACACTCTGTCCGTATTTGAGAGCAGCCGGGCCACCCTGATCGGCGTTGGGGATATCCTGCCGGCCTTCTTCGTGGTTACTTTCGATCATGACTCCGACGATGGCGTGATCACCGGCGGCTATCTGGTTCGCCAGGTCGGTGGCGACCAGAATCTGGTTGGAATGGAGTTTACGACTATTACCGTGACTGCAGTCGACCATGATGTTATCCACCAGCTTCGCCTTGGCGAGTTGGGCCTTGATCTTGTCGACCCACTGTTGCTCGTAGTTGGGACCCCCGTTACCTCCTCGCAGAATGATGTGGCAGAGGTCATTACCGGTGGTATTGGTGATGGCGGCCAGGCCTTGTTTAGTGACCCCCAGGAAGTGGTGGGGATGAGCGGCGGCGCGGATGGCATCCACCGCGATACCGGCGTTACCGTCGGTGCCGTTCTTGAAACCCACGGGGAAGGAGACCCCGGATGCTAGTTCACGGTGAAGTTGGCTCTCGGTGGTACGGGCACCAATTGCCCCCCAGGAAATAAGATCGCCGATGAATTGAGGGGAAATGGTATCCAGCAATTCGCAGCCAACAGGAACGCCGATCTCGGTCTGGGAGCGGGTAAACCATTGATTGGGTGGTGCACGTGGATCAGGTAAAGTAAAGTAACGTAAATTAGATGTTCCGGCGGGGCAGTAGAACTAGAGTGGGCAGAGTGGGCCATGTCCCAGTTGGGCCGGGGTGACGATTGTACGACGAGCGTACGCTTGATCGAAAAAGGATATAGAAATGGCCATACTTACCAAGTCACATAGCAGCTTGCGGGCAATACGGAGACCCTTATTGATCTGGAAACTGTGGAAAGGTCGAGGTGGTGTAACATGGGTATGATTGGACAGTTAGATATAAAGAAGGATCGCTGGATGTCGGGCCCATAGGGTGGTATGGTAAAGGCACATTGTAGTATTAGCAGTAGTCATCGGGGCTAATAGTGGTCTGCCTGACAATAGGCGGCAGTTTGCTCTGGGCCGATATGCTAGGTAATCGTATATCTGGCGGAGAATTACTTACGTTCCGTTCATTTCGGGATCATTGATAAGACCCTTCCAACCGACGGTAGTGCGGGGCTTTTCGAAATAGGCGCGCATGACAATAACCAAATCCTGCTGGTACTTGTCGGCAGCCTCCTTCAGTAACCGACCGTATTCCAAAGCGGCCTGGACGTCGTGGATGGAGCAAGGGCCAACCACCACAATGACACGGTCATCCTCGCGGTTGAGGACCTTGGCGCAGTCGTCGCGACCCTTGGCGATGGTGGCGATGGACTCGTCGGAGACGGGGATCTCTAGCTGGAGGATCTGGGGGGGCAGCAGAGGATCGTAGTTCTCGATGCGCAGATCATCGTAGGACAGCTTGTTTTGAGGGGAACGGGGAGAGCCCATGGTGGGGAATGTGGTGTGGGTTAGGGAGGGGCGGCTATTGTGGTATTCGGAGGCGCAACGGAGCTTGATAAAACGCTGGTATTAGAAAGGTAGTGAGATAGTCTAGAAAAGATATCCGTTCGGGTAGCACAGGGCCCGGGAGCCGGAGCAGTACTAAATATTTATAAGGTGAGGGGGGGTATCCCAGCTTGGAGAAAAAAAGGACCAGTAGACAGGATTGGCTGGCTTGATTGCCCGAATCAAGGGCCCAACAGGAGAAAGGGGGCTTAATCAGTCACCAAGAAGGGCTACTATAATGCTGCTGCGTGGCTTGGGGTTGGTTAAGCAAGGGGGGGGATATAGCCCTTATTCATTATACCCAGCCTCCCTATCGAACAGTTGGGGCACGTGATGCAAGGGTGGGTTTGTGAAGAGAGAGCCCCTCTCCTTCCATTTGCGCCCATCGAAGCCCCAGGAATATTGCTGTAAAATATAACAGGCAGCTGAAAGAAGCATCCGTATCTCAAGGACAAAACACCGCGCGAGGTGTGGGTGGGCCATGATGAGTCATTTAGGGTGATGTGTCAGTTAATAAATGGGCGAGTATGGCTGTGGTGTGGGTTGGTGAATATTCGAACATGCGCCCCCCTGATGTAGAAAACCAGTATTCCATGTCAAGAAATCCACTTGATTTCCCCTAAACCACCCCAAACTGCAAAATGAACAAACGGCAGAAAGTCCGTTCGTCGGTAGCGGCCGACCTGCATACCACTTTACATAACCCTTACGATTTCCCGTGAAGCTCCGCCATCGAGCAAGTCGCCCCCAATTAGCCTAACCTTCTCCGGACTATACTAGGAAGCCTTTCTTGTTTTACTCGGGTTTACGGGCAAGCCTGCTACGTCGAGCAGGTATAATAGACAGACACAGATAACAATGATGATGAGCTCATCGCGCAATCTAAAATTAGGGCACCATCAGTCAGCTGCTCCCACCGCGTTTGACCAGTTTAGCCCGGCCGAGCTCCGAAGGAATGACTGCAGCACATGCCACTAGGCCCCAACCTGCCATTCGTCGGAATAATGGCGTGCAGCGCTGAGTCATTTTGGGGGATTGTGCTTTATACACCAGTTCCGGCTGCAGGACTATAGTAACCCCAACGGGGCTGACGGAAGATTTCATTTTGATAAGAGAGGCCGTCGCGAGAGTTCCCCATATCAGTGTCCACATCACCAGCGCTGGATGGGAAATAGAGCCCTGTAACTAACTTATCGCTGGGTTGGGTAGGTCTCACTATCCAGCCACGGATAACATGACTCACCCCCCGCGGTTCCACACCGCAACGGCCCAGGGGTTTCGGCGGGCGGCCAAGAAAGAGTAGATCACACAGCCAAGCTCCCTTTTCCGGCCTAGGGGAATTAGCCGATTCCTTTATTGAAATTGACCCTCATTCTCTATTCCTTTTTTACACTACGGAGTATTTCCGCCCTAACCCCGACTAGCTAACAAACGTGCCCAGCCCAGACTCGATCAACGCCCCCCACCAAACACTGTCGAAACCAGACAAGCCTCACCATGCCCCTTGCCTCGCCCATTAACTTTCCCCGCTGGCTCGAGGCCAACAAGCATCGCTTGGTGCCTCCCGTCAACAACGCTCTTCTCCAGCAGGGCGACTTCCTCATTATGATCGTGGGCGGCCCCAACCGTCGCACCGACTACCACCTTAACCAAACCGAGGTACGCCTGGGCTGTCTACCACACACCGCTAGAGTGTTTGCTTAAATCATCCATTCCACAATCACCCTATAGTGATTGGCTATTCCTGAGTATTTGTGTATGTATAGAGAGGGTATCTTTTACCTATAGGTGCCATACCTATCCCCTATTTCGCCAGCTATTTCCTCTGTAGTTGATCCACTACTAATAGTTGCTCCCCTATTATCTCCCCAAAATCAACCACGCCCTCGTCGGCTTCTCCCATTATAACTGCCCATCTCTACCCGAAGGAATGGTTCTACCAATACCAGGGCAACATGCTCCTAAAAGTGGTAGATGACGGGAAGTTTGTCGACATTCCAATCAACGAGGGCGACATGTTCTTGCTTCCTGGTAAGTTGAGTGGTATTCCCAAATCCCATTCACAATAGAGAGTTATATACTACCTGCATTAATTAATCATCGGTCGGTTACTCTCCCGACATCCACTCTTTCCCATCTCACCTGTACTCGCATCTGGCATTCCCATTTTCATGGATTATCCCCATCTTTTAAAATACCTAAAATATAGCCAATACACCCCACTGCCCGGTACGTTTCGCCGACACCGTTGGGATCGTTATCGAGCGCAAGCGACGAGCTGATGAAACCGGTAGGTGATTCTCTGTAATAGATTGCCGATAATGTAGATTCCAGCCGGACGCCGGGAGGTTTCCTAATCCAAATGAGGTTAACCTTCCGATCCGGAATTTCCGTCTGTAATCCGGGTAGCGACTTTGATTATCCGGGCTATATGGCTAGTATATATGGCAGTCTATCCCAACTAACATCGCCCACTGCATTCTTGTGTTTTAATTGGGTTTCTGGAAACCCCCAGATGGACTGCGCTGGTACTGTGACCAATGTCGCGAGCTTCTTTACGAAGAGACATTTCACTGCCAAGACTTGGGCAGTGACTTGAAGCCCATCATTGAGCGCTACGCCCA